CTATAGTACTATACTGAGTATATACTTTATTCATGTTTGCCTTTTGCAGCTTTTTTATAGAATTTATAAAGCTGTAACCCTGTATTTTCTAGAAGCCAGTTCTTCAAGACGGGGTGGGGTCGGGGCTCTGTCCCACTGGTGCCCACCAGTGGCCTGTCTTGCATGAATTAATCGCATACGAAACAAAAGATCTGAGGGATCGTAGCAAAGATATTTAATAAAGACTACTGCCTTCTTTTCCAAGATCGGTGCATGCTTATAGAAAATTTTGAAACGTCGCTGTGCATAATCGACTGTGCCAACATGTCTTATATTGTGTTTATCATCAGAGACCTTACAACCGAAAAATTGTAATACTATTTAGTCACTTTTAAAAACAACCACTACTACAATAGTATCAAAAACATTAAAAGGTATTACTAAAAAATATATTAAAATTGCTACTATAATAATTTTATTTTAATTTTTTTTTTTTTTTTTTTAATTATTGACAAATTTAGATTACATTTACGGATATATGCTTATAGACTTATGGTTCAACGAATCATCAACCAAAATCACACAAAGTCATTGCATGTACTTTGGATCAGTAAGCATTTTCCCAAAAGTATTCATTGTGAAAGACAGAAAATAAGGAATTTTCATCCATCAAAATGATGTGCTGTTCTATCATCTGAATTATAAGATGCAATGAAAGGACAGGCGCCACCGTGCGGCATCAGATTTTCAGTAACATTCTGGCACGTTACATAATATAGTAGCGTAAGCATGATGTGTTAGCAATGCAATAACTGTAATTTGGCTTGTTATGTCGACTTGTGCTGGTCTTATCTACTCGGTTGAAACTATGTATTATTATATTGTTTCATAAATATTATTTACTACTTAATATATATGAAATATGTAGTTCTCCTTTTCAATTGTTTGGAAAAGTGTTCTCAAGTGGGAATTGAAACCACGATCCTAGCTGTATCAAATCGCCTCCACTTGGGTATCTGCAGTAACTAACTAACTGAAGCCGCCACAGCGACGCATCTTTCACACAGACACACACATGTACACTACCGACAGTGTCCTATAAATAAAATGAAGATGTTGGACCTACTTAAGAAAGATTCACATTGCATCGGCTGATAATCCGCCGACCTTCAAAAATTCGTCCGCGCGTTATCGAGTCACCCTAAACATTTTTCGTGCGTCGGCTTACAATCGGCGACGCTTTCTTATTCTGCCTTATGGCATGTCAGTGATCATTTTTAAGTCTAATAAGCTAAATCAATAAAATATTTTAGAAAGTCCATATAAATCGTAACTTCACTCAGGGACGTATCCAGTGGGGTACACTTTGTACACAGTGTTAACATTTTAAAGCTTATTCTTGGGCCAATAAAAATTCTTTCCTAGGATCACTCAAAATGAATACTTCTGAAACATGTAATATGCATCAGTACACGTTATACATAGGCCTAATAGAACACATAGGCCTAAGCGTGATTTAAAAAATCTTAAATCCATAATTCTCAGGCCAGGTCTTTTAAGATAGAAATGCGATACTGTGGTTCAATTTCGTTTTTATCCTTTTCTAAGTTTCTTTAAATTTTTGTTTAATAATACTACTACTAATAGTAATAATAATAATAACTGATGATGGTGATGATGACGATAGTAATAATTGATAGTAATATTAATAGCAATAAAAAGTGAAGAAAATTGTGCTAAATGCGAAAAAAAAAAGTTGTGATTTGTTGATCATAATATAGTATAAAAAACTTAGTAAACTATAGTTAGGCCTAAGTTGTCCTGGATATTAAGTAATTCCCTGATAAAAGATCATGAGAAATTTGTTGGAGTTTCATTTTGGCTATATGGTGATGTGATGATGATGAATTTTACTAAAAGTGTCA